ACAGTATTTCACTATCTACAGAAAGAGCAAAAGAAAAACATCATAGCAATATTAAAACATCGTAGTAAACATCATAGATTGACAATTTGCATTGCAGTATGGCAAAATATAAAAATTAAATTAAAGAAATACAACTTTTACCGAAAAGATTAAAACAGCTTGTTTTAACAAATAGCAGCAAAATAATACAAGATTTGCAGTTCAAATTTTAGTATAATGTGGAATGATGCGCCAATCATGAATCAGGGGCTTTATTATATCAGAATGACCAAATTAACTTAAATAATGGTGAAGGCACGAGGTGTGGCAGGAGACAAGGGAATACGTCTATGACAACTCCCAGTTTTATGCATGCGTTGAACAGCACGAGCAATTGTAAAATAAGATGGATGTCTTCGAGTGGGAAATTTAATGGGATAAAGTCTCGCCGCCTCTCTCTTATTTCGATTACACTGCCCATAAAACATCATTTGTATACATATCGTTCTCCCGTACTAGAATTCGTAATATTAGAATACGACTGTATGCAATTGCAAGCGACTACAAAACAGATTTTTAACGTTCTTCATGATCAGCAAAAACGCAGCAAATCAGACTGAAACCGCAGCATGTAAGTCTATTTTTTGGAACTGCTTTTAAAACGCTTTCTTCGTCCAAAATATTTTTTTTTCAATGTTTTACACGTACACAGAATAAATTTCATTTCTTAAGTACTCAATTATTGTATTATTAACGCATGCTTTTAAATTTAAAAATTATTTACATAAAAGCGACGCGCAAGAACGAAAGTTTCCCGACAGAGTTCCAACTAATTTCACTTTGGAGACGGCCCCTTACTAACTTCTTGAAAATAGCCGAGAAAATGGATAAAATACATGATCTTCAAAGTTCCATAACTCGGCCAGTTTTTATCGTAATAAAATGAAACTTTTTGTGTTTACTTTGTTTTTGTGTACTGCATCTTTTCCTAAATATAAGTGATAGGACCTGGGGACCGTATAAAAATTAATTTTGTAATTTATTTCTAAATGAGTTTTTTGGTTCGAAAATCAAGTAAAAACATCCTTTACCTGTTTTAAAACATTTTTCGAATTGGAAGTGCATATCTAAAACGAACGGTTCGGGAATTAGCTATTGGGTCACATTAAGGCTGGACACCCTGTATATATATACGCAGAACAGCCAAAATATTATGAGCACCTACTGAATAACATGTTACTGCAATTTTACAGCAAGTTTTTTGGAAGATGACTGGGAACATGTTGGACCAATTTTCAAAGTAGTTGTTAATGTAAGTCGAGATACTTCGACATGAAGATGTTTGATCTCTGAGCTGACTTTCTAGGAAAACCAAATTGTGCTCGATCAGATTAAGATCCACCGAATTAGGATCTGAATCTGTTGGAGCACATTTTGGTTTTCCTAGAAAGTCAGCTCAGAGATCAAACATCTTCATGTCGAAGTATCTCGACTTACATTAACAACTACTTTGAAAATTGGTTGTAACTGGAATTCATCTTTATACGAGGGTCACTCTGAAATTTTTGAGATACGTACAGATGAGAAATTAAAAATTAACGACTTAATTTAAAAATACAAAGTATTTTAACACACCAGAAAACTTGATACAGAAGGAACTTAACGTTAAATCAGTAGCCATACACAAAATTATTCATGAAGAATTATACATGAAAAAAGAAATTTGCTGTTTGGTTCAACATAATCTAACTGAGCAACATAAAGAGGAGCATGTCAGAATCAGTAAATAAACACTTAAATTGCAAAATGATGGTAGCCACCACATCATTTTTAAAATTGCAACAGGTGATGAAACGTACATACCGTTTTTGACGTTCCAACACGTCAACAAAGCAAAGTATGGGTTTTTAGAGATGATCCCAAACCGGACAACTGTGAAAAGACAACGAGCAAAGAAAAAAGTTACGCATGCTGTTTTCTTCAGAAGTACGGAATTGATCAAAGCCATCAAGTTGGAAGGACAGAAGACAGAAACAGCAAACTGATGTACCACTAAATGTCTTCCAGAAATTTTGCAAACTCTTAGACTTAGGAATACGCTTGCAGAGTTAAAGTTTTAATTTGTGAAACCCTAATTTGTTGGTATTACTTGGTGAAATTAAATTTAGAAGAAAAAATACAGTTAGAAATATTATTGAAAGGGCTAAAAAGGAAAATTAATTCATAAAAAAATGCAGATCTTTATGATGCAAGAATATCGGAAGGCGATCTATTTAGAAATATGTGATAAACTTAAAAGTATTAAATATTTTATTTGTAACAAATCCTAAGTAAAATCTAAAAAAAGTAATTTACTCCTACTTCAGTACAATGAAACAAATTAAAGACAATTGCAGAATTGTTCAATGAGAAGAAAATATATAACAAGTAAAATAAGAGTAACGAAATGAGTTTATATGTATAACATATAAATTGATTGAATTATATACTTTTTTAATTCACACACCCAAAAGTTAAATCCAAACTAATTTTGTAATTTAAATTCTTACTCCAAATTAATTTATACTTTCCATACTATTAATTTTTCCTTTTTATCTTTCGGCTTAGTAGTAAATTAAGAAAAAAAAGCTTGGACAAAAAAAGAAATGAAAAAAATGTGACAGTAAAACAAAGCTGTAATAGCGTAGTAGAAAAACGCTAATGCTTAATACTTTTAACCAAATGTTGTTACTATTCACTAATTGGATTGTCGTTCTTCTGTCAGCATGATTGAGTGTTTATTAACATCGTACTTTAAAGTGACGCTAAAGCTACGAAGTGAAGTACTTTAAAGTGACGCTGAACAAGAACCTCGCAATTTTTAACTGATATCAATTAACGAGAACGTCACCAAGCCAGCATCTCACTTTCCTGATTTCTCCACCATGGCAACATGAGTAATTAAGCAATGAAAGATTTAAATTTTAAAACCCCTCTACACGGTAGGTCTTCAGGGGCATCAGGACTTAAACCCGTGACTCAAACGTTATATTACCAGCAATGGAAACTAAATGCAGATTAGTATGTTAAATACTTAATTATGGAAAGAGGTTTAACCCCTTAAGCGGTCAATATTTTTGCCCAAAATGTTCCAAGAAAGGGCACAATTTTAATGGATATAAATAAGTATATTACTTAACAGAATGCTAAAATGGAAGTATTTTATTTTCATTTTCAATTTTAAAGCTTTCACACTATTTTTTGTTTTATAATTGTGAGGCACAAAAAAAACACCCAAAATATTTATTTTTAATTCGTACACTCAGGGATGCTATGAAGAATGTTTCATATATCTTAAAAGAATTTCTCTTATACTTACAAAAAATTTCATATTTGTATTTCTTCTTCAAGCTGTTGAAGATTGTGTGTGAACAATAAACACACAATTTGAAACATGGTGTAAAACTAAGTCTCCCATTTCAATGGAGACAGTGATAATATCTGTTTTTTTTTTTATTATCTTTCCACTTTCATTTTTTCTTAAGCAACAAATTGCATATTGTCTTGCCTATCTCAGTTCTTTATCGAATATTTTCAAGAATATAAATTCATTCCTTAAATGCCAAATTCCCTCTCTCTCCACGTGGCTGCGGTAGCCAAGTGGTCAAGGTTCCGGATCATGAATAGCGTATCATGAGTTCGAGCCCAGTACCACTGAAGACCCGCCGTGTAGGGGAGCGATATGCTTCAAATCAGTCGAGAGCTCAAACGTGCTCCCGTTGGTGTGGTGGTTAGAAGAGGGGGTGCCAGCTCAGGTGTCATCCGCGTCACTTGACCATGTTTGAAAATTACGCAGTCCGTCGCCAAAAGCCCACGTGTAGCTGAACAGTGCGGCGTAAATATTCACTCACCCGCTTTCACTACAAAGAAAATCCTGGGTGAGTATTAATGTACCGTGCACAAACTGAATTTCTTAAAAACACACACTGCTCTAATAATCTAACTATAAGTATTAAAAATATGTGAAAATGAAAGCAAGAAAGAAGAAAATATCAGTGTGTCCGTATAGCGTACGGTCGAACCGGTTGTAGCCAGAATTCAGTGGCCCGTATGGTGTATGGGCAAACCACAGTTAAGGGATTAAAGTAACTTTAATAATATTTTTTTTTAATTTTCTGTTGCTTATTAATTTGATAATACATCAAATAAACTTATAATAATTAGTCAGAAGTTCAAATGTCACAATTTGAAAGCTTTTAGTTTTAATTTTCTTTTGTCAATAAATAAAAGAAAACGATTCTTACTTTTCTGTTTAATGAATAGATATATTTTATTATTTTATTTCTTAGTTAAAAAGATGCATCAAATCGTCCCATGTGTGTATTGCTTAGTATTAGAACGAGGAGTATTTTATACGAGAGTCAAGTTATGCAAAAAAAGTTTTCTTAAAATCAATTCCTACTTAGGTCAAAAAAGAAAAGTTTTATTTCAGTTAATTTTTATGAAATATTTATAATTATATATATATATATATATATATATATATATACACAAATATTTACATACATATGACATAATCACAATAATAAGTGACAAAACAGAAAGCGATTTTCCTTGCAATTTTCCATTTACCTCTCTATATATGGTGTAGTGGCCGCGGTAGCCAAGTGGTCAAGGTATCAGATCATGGCTGTAGTGTTGAGTTCGAGCCCAGTACCACTGAAGACCCGCCGTGTAGGGGACCGGTGCACGTTAAGTCTTTCGAGAGCTCAAACGTCCTCCCGTTGGTGTGGTGTGGTAGTTAGGAGAGGGGGTGCCAGCTCAGGTGTCGTCCGCGTCACTTGACCATGGTTCAAAACTACGCGATCCGTCGCCAAAAGCCCTCGTGTACCTGAACAGTGGGACGTTAATATTCCCTCACTCACTATATATGGTGTTGTGAACTATTTTTGTTTGTTTGTTACTACTTATTCATTAATTAAATTTAATTATTCTAATAAAATAGTGCAGTCAAAATGAAATCACATTCGCAGAAATTAGTTCATCCCAGGTGGGGATTCGAACCCACGAACTTTGGATTAGAAATCCAAAGCGCTGTCCAATGCGCTACTGGAACACAACGAACGTTTTTCCTTTCTATATATGCAGTTGGACTATTAATTTTGTTTGTTACTATTTATTCAATTTTCAATGAAATTTATGAACTAATATTTGAAAAAACTGTATTACATCAAGTGTTAAAACACTACAAGTTTTAAAAAACTTATTTGAACTTGAATGTATGAATACAAAGTACTTTATTTTTATTAACGATTGAAAATTTGAACAAGATATATATATACACGCGTATAAACATAACTATATATACATAGGGAGAATGTGAACTAATAGTAAGAATTGAAAAAGCATCTGAGTATGAATCATTTTTTTTAATGTTAAAGGAAGGCGTCTGTATCTCTAATTGCTTTTATATGAAATTTTTCAGTGTGTAGCGCTGCGCCGTTTTTTTCTTTCTTCATTGATAAAAGAAATAGCATTTGAGGCAGTAGAGAAATTACTCATTACATTTAAGTGACAACCGCAACTAAACACAGATCTTGTCTGTCGAAATATTATTGCTGATGGAACACATTCCGTAGCTTACAATGTTTCAAAGAACTGAGTTCTCATAAAAGAGAATGTCTTGAACCAAAGCATTCAATCCAAATCATGACTTGCGTATAAAAAATACATTTTTTGGCCGAGCTCCAAATATGACATTTACTGAACTGTCACAGAAGTAAACGAACTCTTCTAATGAGAAATAAAAATGCAACATAAATGAAAAGTTGCTTCTCGTTGCTTCATACACTTCTGAGAGAGGAAAGAACTTCGGGAAATGTTTTTGAAATGTCTTTTAAATCTAGAAAGTCCTTCAGTGATCGTTTCTTTGCTGACTTCAGAGAGACATTTGTTATACTGCTGTATGAATGTTTTGACTGTAGTTTATGGTTAGTGTTTCCTCAGATATGCTATTTTTCTCTTCTAAAATATTTTAATATCACTGAGCAAATGCAACAAAGAAAAAAGGTAGAAATTTGTCTCAACTTCGTAATATTAAAAAAAATTATTATAATACTAACTCTAACAATAAATACCATCGTAATGTGCAAGATGAATTACATATTCAGTTCTGTTATATAATTTTGTCCAATTTTTTAGGGAAAATGGTACGCTTTATGGGGAAAAAAATCCTTAATTTTATGTTTAAAAAAATTTTTTTTTTGCTTGCAACTTTTGTATATATATTACAGGAAGCAGTTTTTATGCTAAATATGCAACAAAAAGCTAAGCATTTAATTTTTTAAAAAAAAATGTTTTTAAAGTGCTACCCCTCCTGCAATGATTGACGTACGGCAGCGTTTCTCTAACTGTGGAACGCGCCTCTTAGGGAGGCGTGATAACTCTATAAGGGGACGCAAGCATATTAAAAAGTCGAAAACAGAAGATTATTTTAAAAAATTATTAATTCACTAAAAGTAAACTAACAAAATACATTCTCAGATAATAAAAAATAAAATGCACATTTACATTGATATAATACACTTATAAATGTTAGCAAGCACTGTCAAGGTTCTTTTATTGCATTCCAAAGCCCTCGGAATATTTTTATGGACAACAGTGCACAGAAAAGGTCTTACTTCGGAAAGACGTATGTATACGTAAGGGGAAATTAACATTTTGGGCGAGTGATATGTTTATATACGCCGGTGGTACTGAAGAGGTTGAAGTCGTATTATTGCTTTAGCGTCAAAGTATAATATTTTGAATTTTACACAGTATTAATGTATAGGGTGTGATGAAAATTATATGATAAAATATTGGGTCGCAAAGACTAAAAGTTTGAGAAGCACCGACGTACACATATAAATCTTAATTTAGAAGTTTTTCAAACTATGCATTACAGAAGTCGGCATGGGTTTCATGCTAACATAACTGATATTCGTAAAATACTTTTTTTATGTATGGTTAATGAAAATCCCTGGAAAATTTTACAAATTATAATTTCAATTATTTTTTTTCAAATTAAGTATTACTTTGATTCAAAAATGCTTACTATTTTTTGTTACATGTACAAATAGCAAAAAGTAGAAAATATCAAAGCATTTGGCGAAGTATAAAAAAAAGCCTTTGCATTTTAAATAAAGAAAAACTGGTCATTTGTTTCTTCTTCTGTGATAAACCAGCTTAAAGTTTTTATTTGCGACGGGTTATGAACAAAAACAAGCATGGAATTATCGTAACTCTACATTTTTATAACTTAGAGTTTTTAAATTTTATGAGAATATAAAAACTATATAAAAAACAATTCAGGCTAAGAAATAGTTTTTTTTTTAAATTTTGAACAATTTTTGTTAATTGAATTGTACTGTGTCCCCTTAAGAAATTGTAGATTTTCCCTTTGAGAACTGAAATTTTGTTATAATAATGATACACAAAAACATAGAGCGCTATTAAATGTTAGCATATGTAGCATGACTTTTTTTTTACTATCCAAAGTAAGATTCAACAAAAAAAGAAATTATGTTTAAGAAATGAAATTCCTACTCTTAGCTCATTTTTTTTATCTTATATCACTCCTAAAGCAATCTTACGTTCTTTCTGCCTTAAATTTTTATAGAACACATCTCAGCAACGTGTGAGCTTTAACTACATATTATCTGGCACCAGAATAATTTATGGAATATTTATGAATAATTCTTGCGCTAACAAGTATAAACATTTTAAAAGTTTGAAATATATTGGTATCAGTTGCTATAGGACCTATATTTGGAAATATTTGCTTTTTAAAAAAATCTTGATCCATAATTCCTAAGATTAATTGAAGTGATATCTTACAAAATTCAAAAAATATAATAACTCGAAATTTGTTTGTGTGTATTATGTGGAATTAAGGTGGTACAGATATATACAGGGAAAGAAAGAAATTACGAAATAATTTCAATTTGTGCTATTACAGACAATAATCAGTACAAATAATTAAAATCAAAGTAAAAATATGTGCATTATTAATCTTCTCATTGGAAGAAATCTGAAGCTCTCATCTTGTGAAAAAAAGTTGCATCTTTCACTCTCCCTATGAAGACCTGAATCACCTGCTGAAGATTCCGAAAATGGAATATATGTTACTCGATTTATACGATGTCGAAGACAAATAAAATGCTCATCAGAAAATAAAAAAGTTATTTTCAACAAAATAATTTTAATAAATAAAAAAAAATATTAAAGTTAACCATTATTCAATAATAATAACTCGAAGCCTGTTTAAAGTGTAATCAAACACTTTTTTTAGAAGTATTAAGTCATAATTAAGTGCAGGTTTGTGCAATACATGTCGATGGTTTCTACTTCACGCTCTTTACCTACAGATCCTGCTTATCATTCCATGACTTTAGATATCTTCCAATGCTGACAAGGCATTTTTCGGTATCCACTCAGACAGTTCTATTTGATACCATGTGATCACATTAATAGACTTTATACAATTTGCACATTTTCACTGGGAAAAAAATTTCCCTCTTTTCATCATTGCTAAATTTATTAAAAATTTACTTTTTATAGGAAATATTCATACCCTTTCACATGTTGACCGTCCAGTATGATGACGTGAAGAAATAATCTTTTTCTTGCCAAAAAGAATGAATAGAAGTGAATAGACATAGCTCAAATGGTCCATTATAAATATAATGCAGTGGTCTATAATTAATTATTGATTCTGTGTCTCTAGCAGAATCGTTTGCAATTCTTCCATTGATTAAAAGGGCTTTCTTAATGATTTTCTTAAAATCTCTTCGCTTTTTCTCTATTATTTATAAGCTACCTCCCCTCCAAGCTGTTCTTTGAACAATAAACCAGGTTTTGCTTTGCTCCCAACAACAATTTCGGATAGAGGGCTCAGAAATATTCTCATAAAAGGTTTTAGGTACTTGATCAACTTTCTGTTTTACTGGTCACATTTATCCGATTCAATAAAGTGGCAAACACCTTGTTTTGAGTCGAACCATCATAGAAAATGTTTAGTTTCCTTACTTGACGTAATTTCTAGGTGTAGTGAGAAAATAGCTGCACATGTGAAGAGCCCAATATATTTCTTGCCGAGATCCGTTTTAAAGATTGGCATTGTAAGTCCCCACTGGTTATTCGAAATTGGTTTGCATTCTGAATTGCATTAGTACAGGAAGAAATATATAAGTTCAATGCTTGGTCTTAATCTTTCTACACTCAATATAATTGGGTAAGTATGTCTTTTATATTTTGTTATCAAAGCGAAGTATCCGATTTAATTCTTAGAACTCGGTTAACATATCGGAAACACTCCTCCTTCCTCAAACGCTAATAGTTCCGTAATTTTGCATTTACCTAGAAGAATCCCAAAGTAAATTTCATCATTGTTAAAATAAGAATGTTCAAATATGTCATACAAATAAATAAATCTGCGTCTGGTTGTCATTAGATTCAGTTTATTCGATTTCGAATTTGATTCTTTTGAAGATTGTATTACTAACAAATCGTAGTCCCTACGGAATTCTGTCTTTCACTTACAATTTATCCAAAGTCTCTCTGGATCCGTGAATTCTTATGTTATCAAGGTACCGTAATCTTTTCTATTTATTGATCTACAGTCATGCAAAGGGAAATGATAGAATAAATTACTCTCGTGCTATTTTCTAATTCACTCAATTTAGAAAGTTTTATTAAAAATCCTCCAATAATTTTTTAAAAAATTGCAACCCCTTCCTTTTATTTATTCTTTATTTTTGTTGATAAGTGGATTCTCAAGAATTGTTCTCAAAAATAATTCGCATTAACTATCGAAGATTATAATTAATTACAATACACGTATTTATATTAAAAGCCGATTTTGCTGCTGAGTTATATTTTTCGTTATAATAATATTCATTTTGAGTTTCGGTTTACATTTCAGATACCTTCTTCCTAACGAATAGCTTCTTCATATAAAAAAAAATTTTATCCATTGGATACATATTCGTGATTAAGTCCACAAAAATTACTATTTTTCGTGATGAATGAAAAATTGATTCATCTGTTAAGAACGTAATTTAGTTACAATTCAGG